GAAACTTAGTGTTTTCCTTTACAATGTTTTAGAGATTTCTATGTAGAAACTGTTAGCTTATTTTGTATAAGTTTAATTTTAACTTTATTTTGTATTCAGTTTATTTTAAATGAGAGAAGAAAAAAGTGAAAAGTTAAAATCACTTTAATATCAAACTTAATGGATCTTTTGGAAACAGATGTGGATTGCTTATATCAGTATTTGCTTTTAGGCTTTTAAATCGTAAAAGACGATCACAGATATTTTCTTTCTTTAAAAACAAAAGTGTAATAATGCATGGTAAATTCATACAATGTGTGTGCACAGAGATGGACATTTCTGCGTGGATATTTGTTGCAACATTGTTAAAAAGACTGAAAAATACCTAAGTGTCCGTCAGTAGAGGACTGGTTAAATATGGTACATATAGAATATTGTAATAATTAAGTTATTGAGTAATTAGCATGTGCTAAGTTATAAATTTTTATATTTCATTTAGTCCTCACAATAGTGGAAAACAAGCCATTTAAAATGATTCATTTAATAAAAATAAAATTTTCCTATGCTGTTTTTTGATTCTCCAGTTACCCACTATTAACAGTTTCATATGAATCATTGCAGAAATAGTCAGTACGCATGTATGCACTTTAACCCTCCTCTTGACAAATGGAGGCATAGTTAGCTGTTAGCGCCGGAGTTTTTTTTTTAACTGATAATGTTTGTTGGAAATAATGTTTAATCTAGAACTGTAACCCTTTCTTTTCATGAATGCACAGTATTCCTTTGTATGAGTGTACTATAAGTGCTCTACTGATAGACATTTAAGTGGTTTCCGCCTTTTGATATTAAAAATAATGGTGACAATGAATATGGTATGTTCATCTCTATTTTACATTCGTCTGTGTTGAACAATATGTATTGTACATTCATCTTTATTGTACATTCATCATCTGTGGGAATGCATCGGAATGGTAAATTTCTAGATGTGAATTTAGTGGGACAAAGGGTAAGTTTTTAAATTTTAAGAGACTAAAATTCTGAGAGGTTGTGTCAGGTTATTCTCTTCAAATGCCAATTCCCCCTATATCCTGGCTAACATGGTGTTACCACACTTGAGGGAAATGTTGTCTTAGTCTTCATTTGTCTTTTTAAAGTAATGTTGAAGTTTTTTTTTAATGTTTAAAAACCATTTATATTTTTTATGAATGATTGTGTCTTTGGCTTTGTGTGTATGTGTGTGGGTGTATTTAGGAGGAGGGTGGTGGTGTTAACTCATTGTTTTTGAAGAGCCCTTTATCATATAGGTTGCCAAATATTTTTTTCCCAGTTTGTCATTTGTTTTTAAACATTATCTTTTCAACTTCTTCCTGGACAGAATTTATTTTTTAAAAGGGTAATTAAATGTATTGTTTTTTTTCTTTATGGATTTTTTGTTTTATATGTTGTGAGAAACAAATGCCTAATTTTCAAGTAACTAGCAAATGCCATTTATTTTTCTTGTCATTAGGACTTGTGTAAGAGCTGTTGTTATATATGGGGGAACCCAGTTGGGGCATTCAATTCGACAAATAGTACAAGGCTGTAATATATTATGTGCTACTCCTGGAAGATTGATGGACATCATAGGCAAAGAAAAGGTAGGCTGTAGTGGGATAACAAAGTTGTGAGACTGATAAATTTTTTTGTATGGGAAATGGAAAGAATGGGGTAAAGAAAGATATATTTACTAGAGCACCATTTATGGGTTAGTCTTCATCAGATTCTTTGTATTCTCATATAATTCTTAAGATAATCTTGACGGGAAATAAATATTAATAGTATTTTCCATTTTATTCTTGGGAAAACAAACTCAGATATGCAATTTATTTGAAATCCCTTAATTAGCTCTAGGAAATGATAGAGTGAGCGTTAGAGTATGGGTCAGATTCCATAATCCATATCCTATATCCCCCCACTTCACTGCACTGGGAGAAAAATACAGTTAAATACTTTCATGTAGTTTCATATATATCTTAGTGGAAGTTTTTCTCCTGGAAGAAACCCTTTGTGGCATCAATAATTTTGTCTCTTGTTTAACCACGTGAATGATATTAACCAGGATTGTTAATTTTCTAAGTCTTTAAAAAGATTTTAGAACTAGTGTACTAATTTAGGAATTCACATACCAGATTTTTACATTCCCAAATCAATACTTTAAATTCACTTTAATGAATC